GGCCAGCCCCGGCACTTGATGTCGGTAAAGTAACCCAAAAGCCACCCTCGTCACCGTCCCAGGCAGCTACAGACCCCCAAAGGCCTCAGGGAACGGGCGCACAAGGGCTCGGCACAATCACACTTTGGGGTGTCACGCGCCGGCAGGCGCGGTACCCGAAAACTAGCGACACATCCTGCTGCGCCGTCAGCTACCGGTACAGCTTGCCACCCAGCAAACAGGTGTGCCGCAGCTTAGAACTGACTGGGACAATACGCAACAGATCCATGCTCGTTCGCCAACTCCATCCCGCACCAGCACAAGCCAAACTCACCGAAACTGCGACCGCGCGCGTCTGATGATCTGACTTATTAATCTACGGACAATGATTCGTGCATCATCAATCTTGCTGGGTGGGAATGCACAGCACTTGAGCCAGAGGCACTTGAGCTGGCTCTGGCCTTCCACTGACAACAGCTGCGGCAGTTCCAGCCGCCCAACAGGATCAGGTTTTGGGTCAGCTCATCGACAGCCAATTTGCTGAGCGCAACATGCGACCAAGTAAGGCCACCCAGGGCAATTGCAATGCAAGAAATGCCTGATGATGACGCATCAACGAGGTCTCGCACAAAATGAGGATGGTCCCAGTTGCTCTCACTGCTCAGGCATGCGGCAGCACCCCACGGCTGACAGAGTGCCCAAACCACATCCACGCCCACGCATGGAATTATTGCAGAACTTCAAGCCAAAACACCATGAAAGATCGCCCGTAGCACGCACCCCTTGAGTGGCGCCGACGTGTGCACAGCAGCACTATGCCCTTCACGCCTGATCCTACTGCTTCCATGCCTCTGCAGCAAATGCGAATGGCTAAGGCTGACAGCAGGTGAGGGGCAGCAAGCGGATGCCCCACCATCAACAGCCCGTCATGTGCCGGAACAGGCCCAGCGAGTCCCCTGTCTCGATGCCATACTCAGCCAGCGTGCCGCTTTCCAACAACGGCCTGCCATCAAAAATGAGGCGGTGATGAGGAACGGGGATGCCTGCCGTTTCTTCCACAAGCCTCAGCACGTCACCCACAGTGACGTTAATGCCCAGGGGGTGGATGCAGTGGACCATGCCGTCCTGAGTCTCGATGTGCAGCTCAAACCCGTCCACCGCCACGGCCGTCACGGCGTCACCCACGCCGCGCGTCAGCTGCACGCCACGGCCGTCACCGCAGACGCGCAGCATGGCAAGGATGTCACGCACGTCTGCGCCCGTGATGCGCTCGCTCACGTAGACGCGCTCCAGCCCTTGGCAGCCGCTCAGCGGCACAGCGCGCGGGTCGAAGCCCTCGCTGCGCCACACGGACAGGTCGGGCGCAAAGCCCATGCTGTCCATCGCCGTCAGCGCCACCAGGCGGCGGAAGGCCTTGGCGTTCTCGCCGTCGTTGGCGGTGCGCTGAGTGTGGCGCACGGCGCCGCCGACCAGGTCCTGCAGGGAAGAAGGGGGGCGCGTGATTTGATGGCGGCTGGGCGAGCTGGTTCGCTAACGGCAGCAGCGCACAGTCCCGTACGAGTGCTGCAGCTTGCGCAGAGGCATACTGCAGCTGAGGGTTGGGTGCTGCGCTCGCACTTGCTATACTGCCTGACCAACTTTCAAGGACTAAAGGCGTCATACACAGACTGCCAGCTACCATGTCTGCACTTCAATCGCCAGTCTGCCAAGCCGCACAACACTTGGGGGGGTCCCCTTCCCCAGGGCCGGGCTCACGTATACGGCAGTCATCACATCGGTTTCCAGAAGCGCTCAGTGCCACAGAGCGTCCAGCGTTAACGACGGGGACATGGGGGCGTCGGGAAATGCGCGCTTAGCCCAGAGGAAGCGCACCAGCTCGGGCGCTGCAGCCTCCGGCACGCGCACACCGCGGCAGCCGGGGCGCAGCATGCGGATTACTGGATGGTTCTGCATGTTACTACGCCGCCGAGGTATACGTGACAGGCTGAGCAAACTGGCCGGACGCCTAGTTCGCGGGACACCAAGCTCACGAGCGCAACGAGGCAGTCACGTGTGCAGTCGTCTCTTCCGGTTAACCATTTTATGCACAAAACTTTTATTGCGCTCGCTGACAACGCCCTCCTGCGCCCGTTTCCTGATTTCTGGAATCCTGCAAGTGTCACCTTCCAGGGCGCGGTGACAATTCGCCCAGCCGGCGGCGGTGACAGTTCGGCCGAACTGTCACCGCGTCGGGGCGGGCCGGGAGCCCGGCGGGGCGCTGCAGCGGGACAGGCATTGCCTCTTGTGCACGATGATGCATGTTTGTCGGTGTTTGTGAGCCCAGCACGATGGTGGTGATGGTTGGGGTGGTGGCCGTTTGTCCAAGGCAGTTGTCGGCGGCCCAAGATGCTTCTCGTTGGTGTGAACTGTGGTTGTATCGGTCATCATTGCATTGCTGACACTGCTTGGGCTTGCTTGCAATGTCATGGCGCTCGATACATCTGCTGTCTACGTCCCCCGAGGGCGTCGCAGCCGGCACGACTCATCCAGCCGCACTCGTGCTCTGCTGGAGAATGCGCCTTGTGCCCCCAACCTGACCACCCACGCAGTGTAATCAGTTGATTTAGGGTATCAAGCCAGCCCAGCTAGCTCAGCTGGATGGATCAAGCTGTAGCTTGCGTGAGGCACAGGGTAGAAATCAACCAGGTAGCAGAGGCCCAGGGATTTCATCTGCAGGACCCAGGATGTGATGCCCACGTTGCAGGATGGCTATTGAACTCCCATATCAATGGAGGGAATCATCAACCCAACCCGCATACGGTACACAACTTCCTCCTGCTTCCGTGTGCGTGCGTGAGTGCGTGCCTGCCTGCCAGCCTGTGCGCGTATGTGCAATTGCGTGTGTACAAGTGTCACACTGAAGCTCCTGTTGCCATGGTTTAAGATGTTTGCAGACATTTCTGGCTTGATGCAGCTGCAGGGTGGGGCCGCAGCGTGCCACTCAGTCGAGCGGACTGGAGTTTTCGTACCAACAGTAGCGCTGCTGCAGCAGGCCGGCACACATTGTGGTGCCCCGAGCGCAATTGCTGGCAAAAAACTGCACCATACGCAGGCATGAAGATTATCTGCGGCGGGTGCAACACGGGTGCTGCTGACTTTGATGGAGGCGAGAGGCGCAGCTGGCCCAGGGCCAAGCAGAGGGTGTCATCATCGGTCCTGATCTGCATCGAGAGCATATGCCGCTCTGTCTCCCTGACCTATTCGTCACTGTCCTGACAAGAACATCACACTCGTATAGAGCCGCGTCCCACCATGTGAATGCCTCGCATGTTGACGGCACAGTGGATCTGCCACAAGACACCTGCAGCGCTTTCCAACATGCTTGTCACATCTCCACCGATGCTGCGCTCGCTCACCTACAGCAGACGCGCTCCAGCAGCCCGCGGCAGCCGCTCAGCGGCACAGCGCGCGGGTCGAATCCACGGCTGCGCTCTACGTACACAGACAGCTTGGGCGCAACACTCGTGCTTTCATCTTTGTCAGCGCCACCGAGCGGTGAGAGGCCTCGGCCGGTGTCCTTGCGCCGACTGCGCTGTGCTTTGACTCTGAACCGCAATCTGTGCTCTTAATCGATACGCTGCGGCCCTTCAGGTCAGCGGCATGCTAGCTCGCCGTGCTCATGGACTGGAACTGTAGGGTAGTTGCATGTAATGCTCTTTCACAAGCAGTGAGAAGCTGGTGCTATCCAAAGGACTACACAAACATACAGGATGCAGCAGCAGAGGGTGGGCCTTGACAGAGTCCTTTCCTTACAATGCTGCACATGCACCCCAGGTAGCAAGGCGCTCGTAGACAGCGATAATACTAGGCAGCCAGGAGCCACTTGCCAAAGAGCATCTACCGTGGGTGACAGGGCACCCAGCCTGGCGCTCGGGTCTGCAGTCAGGAGTTGCTCTTCTCACACGGAAAGCGCACTACCGCATGATACTGTACCTCCGGCGCGGCTGATGTTGACACACCAACATCGCGGCAATCTGCCGTACGAGTACTGGATGGTGCCGCGTGCTGCTGCTCGGTGGACAAGCACCAGTAGATCAGGTTGGATACACAATGGGTGCACCTGTCACTTGGGCGCAACGTCTCGGATTCTCTTCAGTGCATGTGTTGTTGATACCTTGATCAATAATGTTATTTTCGATTCTTCAACACGGCGCATGACGACTGGATAATTGCTTTGCTTGGCTTCGCAATCAATTTATACAGTACCGTGTAAAGTACGGTAGACAGCGTGTCCCTGGCACACGGAACGATTGCACACACAAGACCAGCGGCACACTTTATACCTGTTACGTTGCCGGCGGCGTGCGTGGAGCCATTGCAGCTGCGGCAGCTTCGCTGCTTGCGCCCTGCCCTTCCCGCTGCACCTGAGGTGGTGGGCGCCCTACCACCAGGGGCATCCAGCACAGCGAAGGAGGCCTCCCAGGCCCCACCCTAGGTTCATATTAGGCAATCGTCAATTTTACCTCAGGGCCTTCAGCTGCACTACATTGCACCTCCTCTGCTTCACCCCACACTGCCGACAAGCGGCTGCTCCTGCAGGCAGCATTCAGCAGCAGCAGCAGCAGCAGCAGCAGCAGCAGCAGCAGCAGCAATGTGGACCGGGCGCCCCTTGCCGCTGCCAGGCCGCGGACGGCGCGCCGCCTACGGCCGCGGCATCGACGCTTACGTAATGCTGCTGTTTGTGCAGCTGGCGCAGCAGATCCACCAGATGGAGAACAAGCCGCCCGTCACGCTGGCGCTCATGGCGGGTGCGCGCGCTGCATGTGAATGCACCACGTCGCTTTGCATACATGCGCCGTCGCCATGGGCCCATTGCACGCCTTCACGACCTCGTGCCGCGCGGCGCCAGCTGCCGGCCGTGGCAGACGCCGCGAGGGACGGGCTCGCGGTCGAGCCCTGGGGGCCAGCGACGCCTCGTGGCTGCTGCACACGCAGCGGGCATCGCTAGCGCAGGAGCGGATGCAGTGGCTGCCGGGCCCCCCTCTTCATGCCGCCTGCGCAAGACGAACCACCCTCCATCCTGCTCAACCAGCCACACCACCTTGCCACAATCTTCACCACGCTGCCTGCAGCCAATGCGGGTGTGTACTTCCGCGATCTGCTGCCAGAACCCCTGCAACAGTTGATCCCGCCCCTGCGGCGTGCATGCCTGCAGCCCGCGGCCGTGCTGCAGGTGCGCCCCGCAGCGGCACGCCTGCATGGCTGGTCGTGTGCTGCGTTTGCAGGCGATCGTTGACGCGTGCTGGGCCAAAACATGCTCAGGCGACGGCAGCAAACCTCTGCGCGAGTACATCTCAAGCCCGCCACAGGCACAGCCCTGATGCCCCGGCACGCTCCCCATGGCCGGCGACCACAGCCCCCAAACCACCGCCCCCAATCGCAGGGCGGCCAGTGGTCGCGGCTGTTCTGGAGCGCCTGGGTGCATGCGGACGAGGGCCACCTCTACTACAACCTGTCCTCCCTGCTGTGGAAGGGCGCGCGCCTGGAGCGGCGGCTGGGGCCGGCGCGCTTCGCGGCGCTGACCGCGGAGCTGCTGCTGCTGTCGCATGGGCTGGTGGTGGCGGGATCGTGGGCGCTGGCGCAGGCGATACCAGAGTACAGGTGAGAGCAGGGCAGGGGCGCGTGAGGTGCTGCAAGCTTTGTGTGCGTTATGGATGGAGCACGGCGGCGTCAGGGAGGTCTGCTTGTCCCCGCGAGAGGCAGCCTGCAGCACGCCAGGGCAGGCCAAGCACACACCTGCATGGCGCTCCCTCCCTCTCCATGCGCGGCGCATGCCCTCAGCCCCCCCAACCCCACGAAGGAGGCAAACGCAACCGCCGCCCCTCCGCCGCCCTCACAACCGCAGGGGCATGTACCTGTCCACCTGCGCCGTCGGCTTCTCCGCCGTGCTGTTTGCCTTCAAGGTGGTCCTGAACCACGACGACCCGACATACAGCAGCGTCATGGGCTTCACGCTGCCCACAAAGTACATGGCCTGGGCCGAGCTGGTCCTGGCATCAGCTTTCAACCCGCAGGCGTCCTTTTTCGGGCACCTCTGCGGGATCCTGGCTGGGGTTGTACACGTGCGGGGCGCGGCAGCGCTGCGCAGCGGCGCGAGTGGGCAGCGGTTGCTGCGGCGCGTGGCGGCGGCTGTCGCGAGGGTAGTGGGCGGGGCGCACCAGCCGAGGTTCGCAGGCGGAGGCGTGAGCGGCAGGGCGGCGCCCAGGCCGCCCGCGCGGCCGGTGCAGGCACAGGAGCCGCCCGAGCGGTTGCCTGCGGCGCGGCTGCCCACCTCGCCGGTGCCAGGCGCAATGCCTGCGGCTGCAGTGGGGCGTCAGGCTCCGGCTGTGATCAGCATGGGCAGTGGTCACGTCACGGGGGGCGTCGCAGCCGTGTCCGAGGAGGAGCTGCGTCAGCGGCGGCTAGCGCGCTTCCAGCGCTGACAGAATGTGAAGTGAACGAAATCACTACTTTGCGCATGTCTTTCTTTCCACTGACCCCTCCTACAATCAGCAGCTAATTGTGTAGCAGCTGCTTTGTGCGTGTAAGCCGTAGCTTATATGTCCTCATTGACTCAAGTCATGTGGGAAGCCACCCTAGTCAACCTTGCCACCTAGTCAACTGTGCCGGTTACACAAGTATACGTGGGCTTCGCACTCAAGAATTCTCGGGTTTCTCATCAGCTCGGCACCCCCTGCAGGCCGGCGATGGTGGGGCGCAGCATGCAGGGTCGCAAGGGTGGGGTGCGTGCCAGGCGGTCTCAACTCACCGGCGGCAAAAAAAGGGGCGTCTTCTCAAAAGTGGTTTGGGCAACGCGGGGCTCTCTCGTCTCTCTTTCTTGGAGGCGTGGCGAAGATTGGAAGGGACTTCAAAGGGGCCGGAAGGCAGGGAGACACCAGTGCGCGACCCGCGCGCGTTCGCACACTGCCCCCGCCACATGCTGCACATGCTGCACAGAGGTGGCTGGACGCAAGCGTGTGGTTGTACCGCAGGGTGGCAGAGACGCGGCCACGCCGCCGAAAAGTGTGGACGCGAGGACATGCAGCATCGACTGGCCCAAGTGTCGTGAGTGCTGGTGATATCGTAAGGCGGGAAGACAGATGTGTAGGCAAGAGGGCGTGAAGGCCCCCGGTCGAATTCATCCCCAACTGCAGCGCGGCAATGGGGCGTTTTCTCCTCAGGCCTCTGGACGCATCGAGACAAACAGGCGTGGCTGCGCATGCCCAGGGCGCCTCGCAGCAACGCGCCAGCTCCCAGCCACAGCTTCCCACCTCAGGCGCAGCAGGCAGGCTTAGAAGGGGGCTGCAACAGGGTCGGAATCGCGACCGCAAAACTAACCACAAACCGCGCCGCAGCCCACAGCACAGGTGCCCGAACCGCTAGCGTGCCACAAGGTGGCAGCATGCGCGTTGCGGCGGGGCCCGGGCGGCGAGCGCGCGCTCATTTGACGTTCCGCAACCACGCGAGCCAGGCTGATTCGTTCACCCCGCGATCACACGCACCAAAGGGAAACACTCCCAGCAACACATGTGAGACAGGCCGGAGACCAGGGCAAACATCACGAGACGGGCACAAGACCAGGGCGCCCTCTCCCACTGAGCGCGATAAAGGGGGGCCCACGGGTGATTAGGGTACATGCGCGCCACGATGGGCGCCCTCTCTCTTTGGCGGGGGTGTGGGCATACCCCGAGCCTGCTCGCAGCCTACCCACCCTCAAGACGAGCGTGGCCTGTGGGCGGGGCCACACACACTCTGACGGGTTTCAAACAGGCCCCCACCGCCCCGGTCGGCAGCCGCTCCACGAGCGAGCAGCGGGCGCGGGGAGGGCTCTCAAGTCTCCCAAAGCCGATTGAGGGACGGGTGAGGGGTGCCAGCAGCCTTGCTAGCCCCAGAGCCCGTCCCCACGACATGTGGCGGGCACGAGGCCCTCAGAAGATGACTCGCCGAAAATTCCGCCCCAACCTCCCCAGCCAGAGCCCGGACGAATAACGTGGGTGCAGCCCTGAACGGGCTGACGTGGTTGCGGCGGCCAATGCACAACACAAGGCGGCCCCGCATCGTGACTTCCTCCTCAAAAAACTTGGCCAGGACTCTGGGCGCGCGCCGCTTCGCCCATAGGGAGGAGCGCGCGCCCGCTCCGCAGCGGCCCACGCCCAATAGGGGCAGGGCCGCCGCCAACGCAGACATGAAAACACACTGAAGGGGCTGCAAACAGAGAGCAGGCAGACCCGGCCAACGCCGCGACCGCGCGGCAATCGTGCTCACGCGCCGTCCCAAGCCCCATGCCCTGCTCTAGGGGCGCAGGCAGCGGGCGGAGGCGCGCGGGCGCGCGTGCAGCGGTGGCGCGGTTTGAGCCGGGCGACCGGCGCCTTTCTGAGAGGAGGGCGCGCGCGGGGCAGGAATTGCGGCCCCGCAGGTCTGTGGGTTGAAGGTTCTGTACGAGTGCGTAGCATGTGCGGCGCAACCCCGTTGAAGAGAGAAGGCGGGCGGCCCGTCCGGAATTCCGGACGTGGGGGCGCGGCACGATGCGCGCGCACGCACGTTCCCATGCGCGCTGGGGCTTGAGAGGCCCCTGCGTGCGTGAGTCGTGCGCTGCGCGCCAAGCCGCGCCCCCCTCTGGACCAGCCCCAGGGTTGGGGGCGCTACTGGGGGGCACAAGAAGGGCCGGTCTGGGCGCGCGGCGTCAAAGGGCGCCGGGTCGCCCTTCAAGTAAAGGGGACAGCAGTTCGGGGACGAGAGAGTGGGGTGCCAGGGGCGGGGGGCTTGGGCCGGGCCACGTGAAATGGCCACAGTGCCGTCTAATCAACAGGACAGTTGGACAAAAAAGACCATCCCACCCCACCAGCACAGCCTCGTCAGCGAGTGGGCAAGCTTGAGGCCCGCGCGAGGGCTGGGCGGCGACGCCGCCCCTGTCCCGCCCCCCTCACATCACGGGCACGACGCCCGCTGCGTCGGCGCGCCCGAACGCGCACGCGAGCGACGCGTGCGCGGCGATGCTCTCGGGCAGCGCCGCGATCACGCCGGCCGCGGCCGCGCCGGCCGCCATCGCGCGCTCGGCGTTGCGCCAGGCCTCAAGCTCCTCCTTCTTGGCGAAGCGCCCCTTGATGCGCGGCCGCACCTCCGCGTACGCCTTGCGGCTGGCGTAGCGGATCGTCTTCTTGAACTGCCGGTTCTTCCTCTTCTCGCGGTACCGCGCCACGCGCTGCTCGCGTGTCAGGTTGTCCACCACAGCGCCCGCGCCTGCAGCAGCAGCAGCGGCCGCGGCCGCAGCCGCTGCGGCGCGCGCGGCGGCGCCGCCGGCCGCGCGCGAGGGCGCGCCGTGCAGCTCGTCGTGGCGCCACTCGTCGTCGCTGTCGTCCGCAAACTCGTCGTCGCTGTCCTCGTCGCGCAGCGCGGCCGCGGCGGCGCGGCGCTGGCGCTTGGCGGGCGGCTGCTGCGG